CCCCCCGCCTGTCGCACTCGCAGGTCTGTCTTTCACACGAAGTCCCAGATCCTGGAAGAAAATTTGGGGGGATGGAGTCAGGTGGAGGGTGTGAGAGTCAGGGGATGTCTTTTTGGACTGTCCCTGTGGCATACACAGCCTCCCCTGTGTTGAGTTTGGGGTGTCTTGGGTAGTTTTGGTGCTCTGGTGCATGGAGCTACATAGCCAGGAGCCATGCGTGGCCCTGGGGGGACTGTTTAATTTACTTTATCTACCTATGTATGTATAGATACTTGCTTGGATTGTGGGGAATTGCTTTGTTTTGATCCGCTCGCCATGAAACTGTTTGATCTGGGGAAATGAGGGCAGCAGTGCCAGGTCCCCATCCAAGATAGAAGGGTCACCTCAAACCCTCAGGATTTGGCCTCTACAGAAGGGTGAGGCCTCTCCTTTGGGAGGTCTCCAAGCTCTAAATTTCACCCTAGTCCTCGCAAATAAATGTTTGCCCTATTCCTGGCACTTTTCCCTCATTTCCACCCCCTTCCCAGCAAGTGGTTTCCAAGCCAGGATGGTCTAAAGGACATCTTGGATGAGAGGTTTCCTGAGACCATGGATGATTGTGCCTTCCCACTCAACGGAAGGCTTTGACCCCGCCGCTGTCTCTTACCACAGATTATCTGGCTTCCCTGGGTGGAGAATTGGTACTTGACAAATTTGGGGCTGCAGTGAGAGGAAGTCAACTTCTTGTAGCAGCAGTCGTGGGCATGGCAGCACCTGGGAGCACAAGAGTTGTGGTCAGGGCAGGACGGGGCGCGGTGGGGATGATACCACAGTGGTGAACATCTGGTGGTGCACAGCCCCCCGTAAGAAACATCTTGCATTTGTGCCCAGGTTAGGTGCATGGTCATGCAGCAGCCTTGATCTGCAGGAGCAAGAGAAGGTGACTCACACCTTCCTGGCATCGTCAGCGCAGCTTTCTTAATTGCTTTCTCATTGCTCAGCTGCAGTGACTTTGCAGAACACCTAATGGCCGTGTTCAATTAGCCCAGGTGGTGGTTGGATCTGGATGCCTGGCTGCCTGATGCCACAGAAGCAGAAGAAATGCTGATGCACACCATTCCCATCAGCTGAGCAACTTTTAAAGAGATGTTAAGGACAAACAACAATTTTTGCATTGCTATCTCAGCTCCCAGGAGCAAGTGTTCCCCTCGCTGTACCCAGGGAGAGGGAGGTGAGGAGAGCTGGGAGCACCCACTCTGCCTTCACCAGGTCTTGACTCACCAGTCGGTTGCATCCAGGGGCTGTTTGGATCCCCCCCATCCGCAGTAGCAGCCGTAACCGTTGTAGGACACCCATGATTTCCCGGTCTTGTGCTTAATCATTGACCCGAACTGAAGCAGGTTGCAGCTGGCAGGGGCCAGCGCTGTGACTGGAGATGGGGGGGGTTAGAAGCATCAGGAAATGTCACCTCCTCTCCCACCCCTCCAGAGCAAACCCAAGCAGTTCCTCCCTCCCCAACTTCATGGAGAGGAATGGTGAGTGCTGGGCTTTCCCCACCGCCTCGTCTGGCGGGGTGAGAGCTGGCACAGCGGGTACTCACGGCAGAGGAGCAGCAAGAAGAGCTTCATGTCTGGTGGTGGCAGCTCCGGTGTTTGGTGACTCTAATGTGCCACTGGTTGCACCTTTTATGGGCACCGTGTACCCGCTTGGTGAGGCCCCTCCTTTGAAGAACCCGAAATGGGCAAATATTGACAATCCTGGTGATATTGGTGCTGCTACGTGTGTGAGCTTTTCACGGCATTGCCGGTAACCCCGGCTGCAGGATGCTCTACACTGGGGGAGCCCTTTGCAGGGGAGGTTTTGGTGGACTGGGATGTGTGGGGCAGACTGGTGTTGAGTCTGTGGATATCTCAGCATCCTAATGCTTATTGGAACAAAATGGGAGAACTTGAGGGAGAACAGGAACCATCTTGTTCCTGGAACCACCTTTTTCCTGGATGACTATTACTTTTTTGATGTCTTGGTTAGAAAACACCATTCTGTATCATATTATTCCCATCATGATTTACCTGGGCAGGGAGAAAACGCAGCCAGCACAAAGCATCCTCCATTTCTGACTTACCAAAGCAGGTGAGATGCAACACTGTGAGCAGAGGAAGGTCCAGTTTGTCCTCTCGAATGGGCTGCTGCTGAAAGCAGGGCTGAGCGTGCTGGTTCTCTTCTCAGTGGGAACTTACCAGTGCCCAGATGCTCCCTGGATATGGGGATGCTCCATCGCTTTGCCCATGGGCACCGCATAGTCTTGCTCTCAAAACAGAGCAGGCAACGCTCGTGGAACATTGCACGAGGTGTCTGGTTCACTTTATGTAGAAGTAGAATAAGGAAAGGAGCAGAATAAGGGGAAAAAAATGGAATTGGTGTATAATGGAAATTAAAGAAAAAAAAAGAGGATGGTTATGTTGTTTGCTTGGAGAGAACCTCTAAATAGGTGATGCTGAGTAATCACTGTAGCAGTGTGAGTTTTCCTCTTGGCAGATATTGCAGGTGCATGGGGCTCTGTGCTGCTTTGTAGGGGAATCCCAGCGTGGGCAGGCATTGAGCCAGGGGGAGGAAATCCCCCCGTCACTGATGGGGAAACTGAGGCAGGGAACAAGGGTGCGACTTGTGTGGAAATGAGAGAGATGGTGAGAAAAGGGAACTGGGGTCAGGGCCTCAGCAGAATCTCTTCCCCCCTCTGGCACGTGCCATTTGGCTCGTCAGCGATCTGGGCTAATTTTAGTAGACCCCTGGGATGATGGTGGGTTAATTAGCTAAACTGGGGTTTGCCAGCATTCAAGATTTCCCGAGTCCACAGCCAGCTTTTATCACTGGGGTATTTTTGTGCATCAAACTGAGCTGCCAGGTGAAGCCCTCTCTATCCCAACCCCTCTACCCACAGCAGTTTTGCAGTGCCCCTTCTCCAAATGTGAAATAACACCCCCTCAAATCCCAATCCACATCCCTGAGAAGATGTGGATTTTCTTTCTCTTTTGCTGTTTGCAAAGCACAACTTTTGCAGCTCAAATTTATTGCAGTTAACTGAGGGGATGTGTTATCTGAGCTAACACCTCAGCACTTGGAGCTCTGTGTGAATGGATTCATGCAGCCAGCTGTCCTTCAGATAGATACATAAATAGTTAAAATTAATCCAGGATTTAAACAGAGAATGTGTTTCCTGGGCTGCAGTCTGTCTGTGTGATCACCCCTCTCCCGTCTCGGTGAGTATTTGATCCTTGATTTATGCCTTGCAAACAGCAGCTGTTGGGCGAAGGGCTGCTCACTCCTTCCTCATCTCCCCCAGGACTAAACGCTGCTGGATGAGGAGGATGGTTGAGCTTGATGGGTGGGTTATAGCCAAAGAGAAGCTTTTCTGATTTAAAGGATATTTCCTGGTGCCAGGGTGGGAATTACAGCTGCTGGTGCCCAGGGCATCACCCCCCAGGGAAATAGCATTTTGTTGCTGCTTCTGCTCTGTCCAACTCCCTGAAAGGAGACTATAGAGAGGTGTCTGGTGGGTCTGTTCAACCAAGGCCCAAGGGACAGGACAAGAGGAAATGGGCTCCAGTTGTGGCCAGGGCAGTTGAGATGGGATGTGAGGAAGAATTTATTTGCTGCAAGGGTTCTGAGGCATTGGAAGGGGTTGCCCAGGGCAGTGGTGGAGTCCCCATCCCTGGAGGGATTGAAGAGTCGTGTAGACACAGTGCTGAGGGACATGGGTTAGTCGGGGACGGGTCAGTGTTGGGTTCATGGTTGGACTCGATGAGCTTAAAGGGCTTTTCCAATCGAGGTGATTCTGGGATTCTGTGTCTGTATTTCATTGCTGAGCCCCACGAGGGTTTGCAGGGCTGAGACCTCCCAGGGGGTCAACCCAGCTGAGCTGGTCTGCAGGGCAGAAAACCTGCACCCTGAGGATGCTTAGAGGTGGGGGGGCGGGGAGCAGCCACAGCCTGAACTGCCTTTTCCTCGGGGATGCGCTCAGGATTGTTGCAGAATTGGGCCAAAACATTCTTTTCTGGTGAGAAATCTGTTTTCCTCCGCACTGGACATGAGGCAAGAGCGAGCTCCTGGCCACCCTGTCACAGCAAAGCTTGCCAGCACCCGGCCCTCCCACAGCATCGCCCCTGCCCAGAGCCCTTTGCACCAGCTTTGATTTCTCTATCTCAAGGCAACTGCACATTTTTGGAGCCTGAAGGCTCAGAGCTGAGATGGGGGGGACCAGTTCAGGGGTGCAGATGCTTCACTTCTCAGGTGGCTGGGACTAACTTCTGCTGCAATAAAGGGATGATGCTGGTGGGCAACACAGGCAGCTGGGACAGTCGTGTTGTAAATGGCCTCCCTGCCCCGTCGCTTGCTCTGCACTCTGTGTGTTGACCTTTGAGCTGCTGCTGGACTAACCTTAAAAATCTACACGTGCAAAGGGGCTTTTTTATTCCTGCAGTGTGTATCTCCCCATGCTGTGCCTCAGCAGGTGAACCCAGACACAAACCAGGCAGTGGTGAGCTCCTAAATCATTTGGAAAAGTTGCTGCAGGACACAAGAGCTCCCTATTTTTGGTGCTAACTCACTTGCAGGCTTTGGAGATGATGTTCAAAACAGGCTCTCAACTCTGCTGTTCACCTCTGGTTTTTAATTTAATTTAATTTATTTTTTTTCTGGTTATTTCAAATAGGAAACCTAGCTAAGAGGTCAGCTTCTCCTCCCCAGCTGTAAGGGCTGGTCGCTGGGCTCAGCAGAGTCACGTTACACTGAGGACTGATGTTTTGTGCTCTCTGATTTTTATTTTGGAGCAACAGAAGAGAATTTGCAGTGAAGCAAAAAGCTGAGGGAGCTGACAGGGAGCTCGAGCCAAGGGGAAATGAGTGTCACTGAGAGGGCTCGCGCTGGTTTCCATCTCTCCCTTCGCAGCGACAAGGCGCAGGTGTCCGCCCCTCCCTTGTTTTTCTGTGCTGAGACATCACATCTGCGCTGCTCTCCCTCCTCAGATCCAGTGTGTGGTGACGCAACTTCACGGGAGGGTTGTTTTCCTCAGGTTGAACCCAAAAAACCCCAAGAAGGAGACCCACCAGGACTGGGGAACACTCTGAGCGCTGTGCCATCCCTTTGCAAAACCACCTCCAGGCTGATAAGCAAAGAGCCCTTTTTGCATCAACACCGTCCAGCTCTTCCCCGGCACTTGCTGCGACGCCGGAGCAGCGCCCGGCTGCGCGTGCGGCAGAGCCAGGCTGCCCGCTCGCATCTGCAGGCACCTCTTTGGCACCAGGTCCCAGATCCTGCAGGGATCAGAGAGAGAGATAACACATCTCAGATCTTCTTTTTGGGAAGATCCCCAGGATGCTGCCCTGAAAAAGGGCACCACAAAGGAGGGAGATGGTCTGGAAAGAGGCATTCAGGACCGTGACTGTGAGGACTCACTGCAGGTGGGGATTCCTGCCTGGGGCACCAAGAGGGGCTGGATTGGTCCCACGCGGCATCGCCGTGCAGCCAGCTTGGCGTAGCAGCAGGCACGGAGCAGGCAGCACCTGCAGTGACAAGGAGAGCCTGGCCTCACCCCAAATGTGGCACCAGCTGCTCCAAACCTCTCTGAAACGGGCTCTGCAAGCGGGGTGGGAAAAGCCACCAGCATCTGCATCCTCCTCCTGCTCTAAATCACACAGAAACTGCTCTTTCTAGCCTGTCCCAGCACCCAGCCTCTTCTCTGCTTCCCTTTTCAAGCCCTGCCTGGCTCCAAAAGCCCTCGAGCATCCTGGCTGTGGGACTGTCCCTTTCCTCTGGTGCCACCCCATTGACCTGGGGCAGTTGTCACTGGCACAGCCCCACTGCCTACAGGGCTGGAATTAGGGGTGAGCGCCGCCTCACTTCCCCCCACACTCCCCAAAACCTGTTTCTTTCCTGTTAGTGCCCATCCCTACATTTTGCAAAGCTTCAGAGGGTGCTGCTGGGGTTGCTCACAAGCCCTGAGGTTATCCCACGGCCACTGTTAGCCCTCCCAGGGCCAGCATTAGCCCTCCCCAGCAGTGTTGCCTGTACCGGTCCGTTGAAGCCTTTGACACGCCGCTGACGCCCCATCCTGAGTAGCAGCCGTGGGTCAGGTTTCCTACAGTGCTTCCCTCGAGTCCTGGTGCAAACTTGCGTGGGACCTTCCCACGAGCCACGAGCACACCTGGAGTGACCAGAAAATGTGACTTTTTTTTTCTTTTTTTGCAAGTTATCTGTAGAAATGAAACCTGGGGAACCAGAGGGATGAGGAGGGCTTTGCTGGGAGTGTCCCTGTGGAGTGCACAGGGGCTGGGGGACGGTCCCCACATCTGTGGGTCAGGGAATGGCTGCACTTACTGCAGGCAAACAGCACCACCAGTGTCAGCAGGACCTTCATCTTCCTCTCACCCCGGCCTGGGAGGAGAAGCAAAGGACAGACTCAGCCAGGCAGCATGGTGCCACCTTGCAAATCTTAACCCTCTGAAACCAGGTGAAAACACCCCAAAATTAGGAGGGAGGAAGGCAGCTGTGCTCCCTTCCATCTGTCCTGCTGCTTACAAGAAAGCTGGGGAAGGACTTTTCATAAGGGCAGTTAATGACAAAACAAGGGGAAATGGGTTTAAGCTGAAAGAGGGGAGGTTTAGATGAGATATTAGGAAGAAGTTCTTCACTGTGAGGGTGGTCAGACACTGGAACAGGTTGCCCAAGGAAGTTGTGGCTGCTCCTCCCTGGAAGTGTTCAAGGCCAGGTTGGATGAGGCTTTGAGCAACCTGGTCTAGTGGAAGGTGTCCCTGCTGCTGGCAGGGGGGTTGGGACTGGATGAGCTTTAAGGTCCCTCCCAACCCAAACCAGTCTGGGATTCTTGGCTAAAAGCAAACACTTTCTGAAGCTGTCCCACCACCTGAACATCTCCCACCTCCCATCCCACCACTTTTGGGCATCCAGGGATGGCAGAGCAGCCACTCCCCTGGGGCTGCAACTTCCTGGCTGAGTTTTCACCTGAGAGCAGTGACACTGCAAGCAGCACTCCTGCTGCCTCCTCCCAACATCCCCCCACCCCGTATTTCTGTTTCTGCAGCAGCAATGCCACCACCCCATCACAGCAGCGGGGCGAGGGTGGGAGTCACTCACCGAGGGTTCTCTCTGGCTCTCGTTCCTCACTGCCAGCCCCGTCCTCCTGGGGAAAGCTCTGCCTTCCGTGTCTGACCCGTGGGCTACAAACTGGAAAGTGCTGAAATGACTCGTCTGTCCCAAAAAATGCTTTTCAGCTACGCCACTTCCCTCCCTGGCCAAACCCCCCTCCTCTCCCCACGGGCTGCAGCCCGCGGTGACGCAGGGGCCGAGGCAGAGTTTGTGTGAAGTTTGAGGAGGATGATGTTGAGTATTTACGAGGGTTTCTCTCTCTGCCCAGCAGCAGCAGCAGCTCACAGAGGACCAGGGTGGTTTAAGCACATTGTTTATTTTCACACTGGTTCCATTTACAGCAGCACTAAGGTGCTCAGTGCAGGCAGGGACGTAGGACGATCCGGATGCCGAACCCACGCCGCGTGCTCCGGTCTCGTATCCCGGCTCCCATCACCGGCACCGGCGCTTGGGATGGAAGCGGTAGCGTTTGCTGTAGCTCCCCATGTTTCTCTTCAGGCAGAGTGCCAGGCTGCGGTCGCACTCGCAGGAGAGCTGGGCGCACCAGGAGTCTTGTCCTGCACACAGAGGGGAGCCTGGGGTCAGCCCTGGCTTGTTGGGGGGGGTGACACCCCCTTTGCCAGGGTCCTACTTACTGCAGGAGGGGCTGTGGCCGTGCCAGCCGTAGTGGTAACCCTGTGTCTTGGCGTTGCAGTGGTGGCTCAGGAGGCTGTGGTAGCAGGTATCATGCAGCTGGCAGCATCTGTACGGCAGCGTGAGGCTTTGAGGGTTGGGGGTTTGTGGGGTTTTTTTTCTCCCCTACCCCCTGAATTTGAAAGCATACAAGGATATGATCAGGCAGGGAGATTTTTAAGTGGGGTGCTTACCTGTCCGTGGCATCCTTGGGCTGCCCTTTGCCCCCCAGGCCGCAGTAGCAGCCGTAGGAGGAGTAATGCAGCAAAGCATTTTGCCCCGTAGCCTTTGTGATCATCTTGTACAGATCCCAGAGGTTCCCATGAGCTGGGGACAAGCCTGCGGGGGGGAAATCAGTGGGGCTCTGATTCCAGAGCAGCATCCTCATCCCTCCAGCCCCCAATGTGATACCAGGCTGGTGATTTAAATGAGTAGATGCAACTGAGAGGAAACTTATTCCCAGCTTGTTGCAAGAGTTGCATGTTTGGGAGAGGTGGTGATGGGGAAAGGTAAAGAAATCACCATCCTGGTCCTAATTTCCATGGTTATAACTGTACAGAGAGAGCTGTGGGACTGGGGTGAGCGAGGACACTTACCCCAGGCAAACAGCACAGCAAAGGTGAGGAGAGAGTTCATCTTTTTGACAGCTCTGGAAGAGAAAACCAAACCGTTTCCCCATTATATCAACCACTTTCTTTTTCACTTCCCACCTTGTCCAGGGGCAGAGATGCTCCCCGCTTCTGGGGACTGGGGGAGATGAGGGGTGAGGATGTGCCTGTCGCTATCGCTTTGCCACAAAGCATTTGTGCATTGGGGATGGGAATTGGTTGGCAGAAGGGTGGGAAAAAGCAAAATGAAGAGAGGGGAAGAAAAGCTGGAGGAATGAGGGGAATGAGGAATGAGCCCTTGAGGGCTGCACCCCACTGCTCTGCCTCTGGGCTGACATCTCAGGTAGCTTCTCCCTTGCTCCTGTTTTCCCCCCATGGACCTCGCTCCCTGCTTGCACCGTGGCTTTTGGTTAAAGTAGGAAAGGGAGGAAGAGCATCCTGCTTACCTTGGGGAAGCTGCTGCTTGCTGGCAGGGCCCTGCAGAGCTTGCTTTATATAGGGTTTGCTCCCCTCTGTTGGATGCTCGTTTCACCCAAATATTGCTGACTGTTCATTCCTGGAAAGGAGAAGGTGCCGTCCTTCCCCTTTACAGGAATGCAAGAAATCCCCCAGCACCTCAGCTCTGCACCCCACATGCTGCTGGTGGGATGAACTGGCCAAGCAGTGTCATTTCCAGCCCGAGGAGGAAGCCCAGCCTTTCTGCCCCTGGCCAGAGATGCCCCAGGGCCTTTTTCTCTGCGCTCCCCAGCACCGTGGTGCCGTATCGGGGGGGAAATGATGGCCCTGATCCAACTTGTGCATCCTGGCAGCCGTCACCGAAGCGGGTTTGGGGTTTTTGAGGGGTTGTAAGGATTGGGAACTAACTGTCCCTCTGCCACGCTGCAAAGGGGATTGAGAACTTGTCAGTGTTGGGTGGGACTCGATGATTTTAAAGGTCTTTTCCACTCGAGGCAGTTCTGGGATTCCATGAGAGCGTGTTATCAGTTCTTTGGGAAGAGTACGTAAAAGCATCGCTAGATGTGCAGTTCCCAGAAACACGGGGTTACACAGATGCTGGGTGATTAAACACACCCACAGTGAGAGGAGAATGAAGCAGAATGGGTGTTTTGGGAGGAGGGAATGCAATTTCCCTTTATTTCTCTCTGTATGATTTTTTTTCCACCTCCTCATTCCAACCCCTGTGCAGAACTCATCCCTTAAGGAGAAACCATTTAGTCACCTACTTACCCACCCTCCTAAATTAGCATCCACCTTGGGGTGGACGAGGCTTTGAAAACTTCCCTCTTCTGTGGATAACTTCAGCTTTAATTTTAGCCACCATTTTGATGTAAGTGTCAGAGGAGAGTCTCAAATCATCTCCCACACTTTTCTGCTTCTGTTATTCCTGTGAAAACACCTTTAGGCCATATCTTGCCTGCCCCTTAATGCACTGCTTGTGTTTGAGCTCCAGGAGTGAGTTCAGGTAGCAAGAAGGGATGTTGGGAGAAGCCAAAAAACCTGGCTGTCATCTGGGCTTGTCGCTTGGGAATTATTTTGTTAACAAACCTCAGGGAATTTTATTTGGTGGCATTTATTTGTCCTCATTTCTTGATCCAAAGTGCTTCTCTGTAGCTGAGGATCTGGCAGCAGCACTATTGTTGTGCAGTGGGATAGACCTGGCCAGGGAAGGAGTAAATAACCAGCTGTGAATTAAAGCTGCTGTCAGACCTTTGGCTTTTTTGGGGCTACTGTCAGAACCATGAAAATATTGGGGTGTTGGGCAGCTGGTGTGAGATACAAAGTGCTCCCCAAACTCGGCAGCGCAGGTGCCACCGTTGCAGCGCCTCAATCTCAGCGACTCTGACAGAAAAACACCACAGAGAATAATTTTGAATACCTTTTATTTAATTATCTTTGCTGAGAAATGAAATCAGGAGAGAAAAGAGAGCAGGAAGGGACAAAAAAAACCACCCTGAAGCTGATGTGTCTTTGTGGGAACTGAGGGGTCTCCGTCCATAATGGGTGCTCTTCCTCACCCTGAGCATCGCTTTGTGAGGAGCCTTGCTGGCTCTGGCTCTGTTCAGCCCCTACATCAGGCTTGTTTTGCTGTAGCAATGAGGAAAGCCAGTCAATATGGACAAACTCGGGGGCAGGTTTCTCCTCCTCAGCACTGCAGCTTATTTCCTCGGCATTTCAGCTTGAAATAGAAGCGGTAGGATTCATTGTAGGAAGGCAAAGCGCTGGCGAAGCACGAAGCCACCGCCTTGTCACATAGGCAGGTCTCTTTCTTGCACCAGCTCTGCTTGTTATCTGTGGGGCACAAAACACAGTGCTCTGTGGTGGCTTTTCCAGCTGGTGTCAGTGCTGGGGTCCCCTTGGAGCACCCCCAATGCCTGGAGCTGCCTGGGGGAAGCACGTGAAGCAGCGTTCCACGATGCTTGTCCTCTCCAACCTGCCCACATCCCTTGTGATGCCCATTTATTTATTGTATGCTGCGTCCTCCCGTACGCGCTCGACTGGGCATCAGGCTGGTTTGATCCCCAGGGGGGTACCCTCCTGTGTACCCCACTGTGGGGCTGGGGTGTCCCAGGGAGCAGTGCTGGTTCCCCCCCTCTGCAGGACCCCCTGGTACTCACCACAGACGATGTCTCTGTTGGTGATGTTGAAGTGGTAGGAGGTTACCAGGGGTCTGCACTTGCCCTCTCTCAGCGTCCTGTAGCAGCAGTCGTGGGCACGGCAGCACCTGTGGGGACACCGTCTCAAACCGCTGCCCCCAAGCCCTCCCTCACCACACTTGGAAGGTAAAGGAAGGTCCAGCCTCAAATTTAAGGTGACTGGGAGGAGGGGATGACGAGGCAGCAGCAAGATGTGGCTGAGGAATGGTGCAAAACCCCCTCTCGGAGCCCACCAGCACTGCCAGGCTGCAAGTGAGGAGCTTTTTAGGGACCCTTGCGCGCCCAGCAGCGAGTGGTGATGCTTCTCCAGGTACTCACTGGTCGGTGGAGTCCACTGGGGTCCCTCTGCCCCCGATGCCGCAGAAACACCCGTACCAGCTGTAGTAGAGCAGGGCGCTTTTCCCCGTGGTTGACTTGATCATCTGCTCCAGCTCCAAAACGCTGCTGTGAGCCGGCAGCAGCCCTGCAGAGGGGCAGAGGATGGGCTTGTGCTGGTGCGGAGCGAGGAGGCCGGCAGCACTCCCTGCACCTCGCACCAGCCAGAGGAATTAAATAAATCTGGTGTTGCTGGAAAGAAATACATGCTTTCAGGTATGTGAACCACGAGAAACCCCAAAAAACCTCCTCAGGATGATGTCTGGTTTCTGCAGTGACCCGATTTGGTCTGGCAGAAGATATTACTGCTCTCTGTACAGGCTGTGCCACGCTTGCAACCGGCAATGCCACGTTGGCCGGGATCAGCTCTGGGCTTGGCACAGGCAGGAAACCAGGTGACAATAACTATGGATCTGAGCATCCCAAAACCTCACCATCGTGAAGATCTCCAGGACTACAGCAGGGTTACATGAAGCATTAGACAGAAACTTCAAAATTTAAACAAAAACCTGAATTGTGCACAAAGACCCTGGGTTTGTACGTGGGTTTTGCCAGGCAGACCAGATCCCAGCCCGGCCCGGTGAAACCGTGGCACTTACCGCAAGCCAAGAGCACGGTGAAGAGGAGATTCTTCATCCTTAGGCTGGTCCTGGAGGAGGAAACAGCGATGGCAGGTGATGAGCAGCACCCCAGGGGCAGGACAGATGCTGTCCCCATGCCAGCACCGCATGCACGGAGCCGGTTGGGTGACACTAGTGTCACCATGGATATAGAGCATTGTGAAGGTACCGCCGTGCCCAGCGCACGCAACTGATTCCCAGTGGGGTCTTCTGACTCCGGTTTTGGGATGTGGCGCTTGGCAGGGATGTGCAGAGGGACACAGTGGTTGTCCTGCCTGGGGCTGATGGATCAGCTCACCGTCTGCAGCCTCCCACCACCGCCCAAGCTGTCTGAGGAAATAAGTGGGCAATAAAATCCCCCCTTCTCCTTACCCCGCCTGGACTTCGCAGCTCCACGACGGTCAGTTTAGCCAGTTCCCTTTATCTAGATGGCGAGGTCCACCCCCTCCTCTATCTGCGCTGACGGCACCGCTCGTGGCAGAGCAGGTCTCACTGAGTGCCCCTCGGTGAAGGAGAGAGTTCCCATCCTTCCCCTTCACAAGAAACACAAGTTTCCCCACAGCAGCGTGTCACCAGCAATGCTCCCTCCGTCACCTTGCTCCTGCTCATCATCTGGGTGCAAAGTTGTCTCCATCTTGGGTTGATGTGGCCTCTAGATGAGGCCAGTCAAGGTCTTGGCTGTGGTTTTAGAAGCTGTGGGGTTTGATGGCTGGAGAGAACAAAGTGGTTTATGCCCAGGAGGTGCTGAGCTGGCACCGTGGAGGTCGTTGCGTCCTTGTTCCAACCGTGGAGGTGGCACTTTGGTGTCTGTATCATCCCAAGTAGGTGCTTGGTTTTGCCAGCTCACGCTCTGCAACCTTAGGGGTGGTTTTTCTTGGGTCTTCTCCTTGTGATTGCATCCCCAAATCCAGGTCCACGTCCAAATCTGACCACACCAAATGGTGAGAGGAGGTGACAGGAGGATGGCTAACACTGCCGTGTGGTTTTGTGGGTTTGTAGTTTTCCTGTCCTGCCCTCAGGAGTGTGTGGGGAAGGGGTCTGTGAAATTAAATCATCAGCAGAAAAGGCTGGAAATGCCATGGAAACCCAACTTGAAATGCTTTTTGAATACAGTTTATTTCATCACCATAACTGAGATGTGATACAAAGACACAAGGGAGGTAGAAAACCCTGAGGAGATAAGAAACAAAAGCTGCTGTCTTCCCTGGAAAACCCTGGGGCTGAAAGCAAACAGGCACACAAAGGCAGGGCTCCGCCCTCGGTAATTAACCACATTTCTGGGAAGGGAATTCAGGGTGGAGGATTGTAAAAAATAGCTCAGGGGTCTGTAATCAAGAAGAAAATCCCTTCTTGAATTTCTTGAGAGCCACCAAAGCTGCTTGCTGGGAGGGATGTCACCTCCTGGTTGTCCTCCACGGCGGGTAGAGATGTCTGTCCTGATTTTCTTCCCTCTAACCTTTTATTTCCTGCTGTCAAGTGGGATAAAAACCCACCCAAGCCCATTATGGAAGGGATGAGGAGCAGCACCTCGCCTGCCTCCCCCCGCTCAGGCACACAGAGCTCCTCACCCGCTCGCCGTCTGTGTGGGAAACCATCTCAAAATGCCACAGTGCAAACTGACGGGCATCGCACCGATCCCAAATCCCTTGCTTTCCCCACCTGCCTTTTCCATGAAGCCATGGCATCCCTGATGATTCATCACCCTCTTCCCACCTCATCCACAAAAACCTGCCATTACAGAAGACTTTCCCCGTTGTGGTGTTGGTTCTCCGCGCCGCTCGTGTGCTTTGGCGTCGCGCTTTGGGGTGGGTTTGGTGCTGTGCTGGCTCCTGATCTCCTGGGAGAACTGATCTGCAGTCTCCTGCTCTTGGATTTTTGCTGTAGAGTTTGGTTAAACCTGTGTGAAAAGCATCGTCCAGGGGCCTAAATGGAGAGCTGGGATCACACTGGGATCACTCAGAATGGGGATCCACGGGTGGATTTAACCAAATTGCCCAATTTAAAGCCCCTAGAGTATCTCAGGAGAGCGAGCACACAAAGCTCAATCCTCTTTTCAATCGAACCACAAACCTGGGAGGGTACAAACCACCTATGGAAATTATTATTCCATTAGAAATACGGAATTTTTCCGCCTTCCTATGGAGCCAAGATGGGTATTGATGGACACATCAGTTTGTTCAGGGCCTTATTGCAGTGTAAACATGCCCGGTGCTTTGATCTGTCTTTGGTGCCTATCACTGAACATCCCGTGGACGGGCTGAGCTGACACCCAACTGATTTCCTGACCTTCTTAGTGTGCGGGGGACGCCTTGATCTTCCCCTATCTGCAGGGTGGAGATCCCCAATTCAACGGTAGATAAGTTATCTGAAGTTATTTATTGCTTGTTTCTTGCTGCCTTTGGTGGGCATCTGTTAGTGGGAGAAGCATCTGGTTAATTAGAATTGGGTTTTAAAAAGGAATTAACGGGGAGAGATGGAAATGTCAGAGTTTGGTGGTGTGTTCCCACAATGACAACTGACTCAAGGATTGTTTATAGCCCTGGGGGGATCAGGACTCCCACTCCCTGGCAGCGCACACCCGGATGCCAAGCTGGTAGGCTGAGGCTTTCCTGGTACAAAGAAAACTTTAAAAAGTTCCCCAGATAAGTTGTTTTAAGTCCCTGGATGATCTTGTGTGTAAAGTATAATTTTTTTTAAAGGTGTTCTCACCAAAATGAACGAGTTTGGTGTTTATTTGTCCAGGTTTATTCAGCACTCAGGTGACGCTGTTCAGTCACACCGTCATGACCCTCAGCTCGTGGTGGGGTTAAAACCTCATCCTCTTGTTCCCATTCTGCTGGGTTTGCTCAGGAGAGGGTGTAACGCTGTATTTTGAAAATTTCAGGGTTTAAAAAACAAACAAAACAAAAGGGTTTTGGTCCTCAAAGCAGGGTGACAACAGTCTGGTTTTGCTCTGGGTGGGATGGGGGAAACGAGAGCTTCTGCAGGAGGGATGGGAACAACTCGGTGTCACTCACCTACAAGGTTTGGAGCAGCTGTTTGGGAGAGGACCCTGCTGTCACCACCCCTGCTCACCCTGTCCCCTTGTTTCCCTCAGGATGAAGCCTCCAGCCCCGCTCAGGACTGTCACCTGTCACTGTCACCGTGCCATCGAGGCGACGCTGCATCCTGTCCCTGCGAGCCCGTACAGGGGCACAGCAGCCCAGGTATGTCCCTCCTGTCTGTAACAGTGTGTCACATCCGTCCGGGGGCCTTGTTACATCCCCTGGGCTCACACAGGACATCACAGCCATCCCCAGAGCTCACTATGTCCCTCAGACCCACACAGGGACATTACGGCAGTCCTCAAGGCTGTGTCCCTCAGACCCACCTGGGGACATCATGGCGGTCCCTGGGTCTCACTATGTCCTTCAGACCAACACAGGGACATCACAGCCGTCCCCAGGGCTCACTGTGTCCCTCAGACCCGCACAGGGACATCATGGCCATCCCTGAGTCTCTCTATGTCCCTCAGACCCATATGGGGACATCACAGCCATCCCCAGGGCTCACTGTGTCCCTCAGACCTGCAAAGGGACATCATGGCCATCCCCAAGTCTGGTTATGTCCCTCAGACCCATATGGGGACATCACAGCCATCCCCAGGGCTCACTGTGTCCCTCAGACCTGCAAAGGGACATCATGGCCATCCCCAAGTCTGGTTATGTCCCTCAGACCCATATGGGGACATCACGGCGGTCCCCAGGTCTTTCTGTGTCCCTCAGACCCATATGGGGACATCACGGCGGTCCCCAGGCCTGGCTGTGTCCCTCAGACCCACACCAGGCTGTCTGCCCATCCCTGGGCCCATCCCACAGGCCGCTGTCGCGCAGCCAGGCCAGGAACCCCAGGAGCCCCGGGACACAGAGCGATGGCGCGGGGGGACCCGGCCCCGCCAGCCC